GGAATGAGTGTCTGTTTTCTGCAGGCCAGTCTGGTACTCCGATTGTTAGTTGTCATAGCCAACACAGGAACAAAGCCTCTGACTTGTCAGTGTGCAGTGTGGCATCATTAAAGACTGATGCTCGCCTCAGAGTCTAGCATATCCTCGGAGAACTGAGCATGGCCAGAGCCCTGCAAGGCCAGCCAGGGCTCTGAGCCTCTCCCTGGGCCCCAGGCCTCTCAGAGAGTCAGAGCAAGAGACCCATTCAAGGTGACCATTCAGTAGAGGAGGGTGAGGATGACCCAGGAGTGCTCCTCTGTGCCTACAGGAGCCCCAGGGGAAAAGCCCCAATCAGGAGTCAGGCCACTGTCCCTGGCATGGTTTAGCCACCAACCGAGGCTCAGAGAGGGGCACCACCACCCAGAGTCCCACAGTCAGTCCCTCAGAGACCACAGGTTGGGCCATCTCTGAGCCTCACTACTTGTGTCCCAGGGATTATGTGACATGAAGCCTGCTGAGCCTTTTACCCCAGGCCTGACAGTAACAATGGACAAACAGGGCTGGGCATGGCCTCATCCAAAGCAGCCACAGACCTCACTGAAGCAATCTTTTCCTATATTTCAAACAAGATAAAGAGTCCAGGGTGGGGGTGGGGGTGCTTGGGAAGAGCAGGACCATGAGGAACCAAGGATGGGGCTCTCCCTAACCCGGGGTGTCCCTACTTCCCTTGTCCAGGGGGTGCCCAACCCAATTCCCACCCACAGGGTTACACAGGGCAGCCACTGAGAGCCCAGGGCAGGGAGGAGGGGGGAGGTAGCCTCTCTGTGCCCCTCAGGGGGCTGTGTCCCCCAGCATCCCAGGGCCCCAGCAGGTGTCCAGTGTTAGAAACAGAGAATGCTGTGAGGATGGGGGTGGACGAGAGGTAGAATGGTCCTGTCATCCTGCCCAGCATCGCCGAGTGCTGGCTCAGGGGCCCTGGTCCCGGGCAGCCGGCCTTGTCTGCAGTCTTCTGGTTCCTCCCGGCGAGACTTTGTCACTGGGAGGCCTCAGCGATAGCTTTCTCCACCCGCAGGTACCAGGGCTGGATGAGGCTGTGCCGCATCAGGTCATCGAAGGCCTCCAGGCCCTCCATCACACGCAGCACACCATACACCGCCTGGGGTGGGCACAGAGGGGCGTCCGGTCCTGCCCCATCATCCGCCAGCTATGTGCCCTGGGGCCCGGCCCGTCCCCCCTTGGAGAGTCCCATGACCCACTGAAGGGCTAATTTTGCACTTGGGGCTTTAAGTGAATCATGGGGGATAACTGGAGGTTTTGCCTGCCCCACACCCACAGCCCCTTTTTGGGCAAACACCCCCCCCCAGTTTCCTTTGGGAAAATGCTTTCCCCTACTCTCAGGTCCTGAGACTTCCCCCAACACCCAGAGAGCTGGGCCTGCCAATCAATGCGCTTCACCCTGGCTGCAGGAAGCCAGGACTTTTGCTGGGGGGATCCTGGGGCACTGGACAAAGGCCAGATGCAACAGGGAATCCTGAGACCTGGTAATAACACTAAGGCCCCTGGATCCAGCCAGGCCTGAAGGAGACCCCTCCATTAAACTTGTCAGCTATGGAAACCAACACAGTTCCTTGTAGTTGGTTTTCCTTAAGCCCCTGACAATAGATGGAGCCAGGTGCCTCTGAGGTGGGGGAGCTGGGAGATGTAGGTACTGCCTGGGCTTCCCCAACCTGAAGACAGGACCCACAATCTGGGCACCCCTGGCCATCACCACACTCACCAGATCAGCCAGGTTTGGCTTCTGGCCCCCCATGAACGGCCGGTCTTTGCCCACGGCTGCCACCCACTTGTTGGCGGCCTCATACAGGTCCTCCCGTACGTCATCCTGGAGGTGGTGCCTGGGCAGGGACAGGGGAGGTCAGTCCATCAGGGGAATGCCTACCAGACCCAGGTGAGGTCAGCGGGAAGGCCACCATGCACCCAAACACACATGCACACACGTGCACCATCACCTGCTCTTGAGCCGCTTGCTGATGAGGTACATGGCAGCTGCGCCCACGTACTTGGCCATGGCACCCTCCACAGCCCCGAACTTGCCCTCCCGGACAATGTAGTCAAAGGAGGCCAGGGCCTCTGCAGGCGTGCGGTACACGTTGGGGGAGATCAGGTGCACCAGCCAGTCATCCGCCCACTGCCGCCACTTCATCTCCTCCCTGCAGGCAATCGGGACAGGGGGCGGGCCAGGTGGGCTTCCTAAGCCAGCGCCTGAGAGGTGGGGAGCAGACCCACTATCTAGGCCTCCCAGTGCACGGCTAGGAAGCCGGGGCCTCTGCGGCAGGTCCTCATGGTCTCCCGCGCTGCTCCTCGCTCACAGCGTCCTGTTCAGCCTGGTCCCCTCCCGCCACGCCACCTCCCCCGGGCAGCCGCAGCCCTACTCACGTCCTGGCCGCCTTCCCATCGTACACCTGCTGGGCCTCCTTCTCGTCTAGCATGAGCCAGTACTTGTTGCAGAATTCGGTCACCTCCTTGCCCCGGTCGTTCATGGCCTTCATGGGTGGGTAGTAGGTGGTGATGACTTCCAGAGGCTGCCTTCGGGGTACATCCAGAGTCTCACCCCAACTTGCCGTCCTCCAGGAGACCCAGCCCTCGCCTCCTTAGGGTAAATATGCACCCCAGCCTGACCCAGCCCCCAGAGTAGAGCCAGGACTGACCCACAAAAGTTTCCCACCCTCTTTTGGGTGACACAGGAGATCCTGAAGCAAGAGGGGTTTGGGGCAGACACGAGGAGCAGTTCCCTGACATAGGGAGATGTGCGGAGAGGAAGGGGAGTCTGAGGAGGACGCCCATGGCCCGTTCTGCAAACGTAAGCAGCAGCCCCACCCTGCTCCCATGCAGAACTCTGCCTCCCTGGAGACAGAAGAGATACAAGGCGGCCTGCCCGGGCCTCCAAGGGTCTCCTTACCCTGATACCAGGTAGGTCTTGAGGGCGCTGATGATGACAGAGGAGTCATTCAGTTGTTGCTGGAGGAGAGAGATCGGTTTAGATTGTGGGTGGGGGTGGGGGGCGCTAAACAACACCAGCACCCAGGCATTCTGTGGAAACTGGTCGAGTGGAACCGGGGCACTGTTGGTCCACCCCTGGGGGTTTACCCCTATAACTGATGCCCATTGACCTCTCCCCTCTCCCCCCAGAATACAGTCCCCCCTCCAGCCCATCATAAGGGAGACCCAAGTGTGGCTAATGAGGAGGAGGGTGTGGGGAGGATCCAGGGTCTGGGCCCTGCCTGCTCCACCTGCCTGGCCTCCAGGGCACTAAGGAGCAGGGTGGACTCCAGAAGCTACATACTAGGAGCCAAGCGCTGGGCCAGGCATTCTGTACCACCTGGAGAGTAAGATCCTCTGCTGGCTGATGAAGAAGCCAGCCCAGAGAGGCTAAGCGACTGGCCCCAAGTCACACAGCCAGTGAGGGGCAGAGCCACACCTCGAACCCAGACCACCTTGATTTCAGAACCCACCCTGTTCAGCTCTGTAGTGCTCTGCTTCCCTCAGACCAGGCTGGGGTCTTTGTTGGTGGGGAAGGATGGCAGCCTACATTTACTGAGCACCTACTGTATATCAGCTGCTGCCCCCTCGTAATCCTCAGCTGACGCCAAGAGCCCAAGTTCCTTCCAGGGCTGACTCCAGGAGTACTCCAGGACAACCCAGGACATGGTGGGGGCTCCCCAGGCTCACCAAGCTCTCTCCTTCCTGGGCCAGCAGGATGGGCACCTTCCTGTAGGCCGAGAACTTGATCTCGGCCCTGAGCACAGGGTTCACCTCCACCACCTCGTAGGGCAGGGCGTGGAAGTCCAGGAAGGCACGGACCTTGCTGCAGAAGGGACACGTTTTGTACTGGTACAGAGTCAGCTGCAGGCGGTCGGACAGGGAGAGCTGGGTGGGGAGCAGAGGGAGGGGGCTGCTGAGGCCTGTTCCCCAGGCCTGCCCCCAAACCCTGGCCCCGCTCCCAAGCAAACTCCTTTCCCAGGGGAGTCTTCTAAGATGACCCTGAGAACATCTGGAGGAATGGGGTGGCGGGGCAGGAAGGAAGGGGATACGGGGAGGAGTGGACAGCCCAGGCTCAGCTCCAATCCACAGTGCTCCCCAGGCAAGAAGTCCAGTCTGTGTAGAAGGAATCTTCTGGTCTCTGTCCTATCCTGGAGACACACCTGTCCTCGCCCTCGTCGCAAGGGGACAACAGATGCCTGCAGGTGTGCCCTCCCAGATGCAGAACAATTGTTTCAACTCAGGGTGCACGTCCCCACTCCCCCACCCCAGGGACCTCTGGCTGAGGAGGCAGATCTGGGCCACAACCCAGCCAGCAGTCCAGCATGAGCCAGACTGGGGTCTGCCTCAAATCTGCAAGGGGGAAGGGCCGCATCCTGGCCTTGGGCCTGGATCCCGGATCCTGCAGTCAGCAGGAAAGCCCCAGGTGAGCTTGCTGCATAAATTCATGTTTGGAAGTCACAGCTGCAGTCACTGCCCTCACCGTCTGGGTGGGAAACTGAGGCTGGGCCCATGGAGGTGAGCAGGGAGGCCCAAGGAACTCTACTCCCCTCTGAGCCACCCGTTTCCCTGCGTCCAGGAAAATGCACCTGTGGGTGGATGCAGGGGCCACGGCAGAGAAAGGCTGTGCTGGTGCTGTGCCCACAGACTTGCAAGGGCAGCTGGGCCACCCCCACCCCCCGCTCGGGGGGACCGTCCATGTCTCAGGACTTGGAATCTAAGGGTCATCGGTTCCGTAAAATTGCTAATAATAACCCTAATAAATAAATGCACAACCTTAAGAATTGAAGGGG